CTTCTTGACCCCAAAATAGCAGTCAGATGTCTCCTTGGATGAAGCAGCTATTACCTCACTAATTAGAAATTATATCCTGTATGTTATGTTTTTGCAAGTATTTATCCAATTGCAGTTTAAACATCTGTATAGACTCTGACAAAACCACCTCTTCAGGCAGAGAATTCCATATCCTTATTGCTCTTGCTGTAAAAAAAAACTTTTCTTTGCCTTAGATGAAATCTCCTTTCTTCCAGCCTAAATGTGTGACTTCGTGTCCAATGTATAGCCCTGTTTATACATAGGTCACGAGGTCACACATTTAGGCTGGAAGTAATTGTACATCCGTTCTTGGTTTTATTTACTGATGCTACTACGAAATGTATGGGAAACTGCAATTCACTGGGAGTAAACATTTTTTTTTTCTTATTGATATCTTCCAATCAGTCATAGTTTTCAACGTAACTGGAAGGTTTGACATAAATCTTATACAGAAATTGCCATTCTATCTTATAATGATCTGCAAATGGAAGTGGTTAGACACAATGCAATTTCTCCCATTATTATAGCATAACACATCTTGGAGAGTATGTATAATATTGTGTGTATGTATGTGTGTGTGTGTGTGTGTGTATATATATATATATATATATATATATATATATATATGTAATATTGTTTATACACTATATCCAGTAAATGATCAATACTTCTCTTTTTTTCTATGGAATGTAGCTATAGAATATTATGATGTTTCTGAGGCATATGTTTGTGATTTTACTAGAACTCACTAAAACCTTTTTATGCAAATAATTTATGTATTTTGTTCCTCTTCATATTTTGCTGCACCTGTTCTTGATTTTGTTTACTGATCATACTTGGAAAAATGATTGAAATTCACTGGAGGCAGACGTAGCTCTTTTTGTATTGATTGAATCATTTTCCCACTATTTGTTTAAATTTTAATGTAACTCGACGGTATGGTATGAATCTGTAAGGCATAAATTGTCATTCTCTCTCTAATGATCTCCAGATTGAAGATGTGCTGTTCATAACAGGGAGCAATATAAATACTAAACCATTGATTTATCAAATAATAATTACTGTCCACGTGTATGAAGAAAAATAATTAACGCACTGTAATTGGTCTGTCTAGGGAGGAAGCCAGTCCATTTATAACTAACTGCAATTGATTTTTTTTCAAAATATTTTCTTTCTCACTATTTCCTTTTTCAGGTTTAACACCTCCCTATGTATGGAAGTGGAGTCACAAACTTAGCACTCATAAACTTAAGCACAGCTCCCTAGACAGACGCTTTCTTAGCCAGGCTACAAGGAAATTCACCTTTCTTTTGTTTGTTAAAAACACATTGAAGTTATAGTAAGGGCATTCATTGAGCATAAATGCAACTGAGCAATGCCATGGTTATGGTTTGTAGATGGTTTATGAAGTACCTTCCTTAAAAGAACATTATAGGGTTAAGAATATAAATGTGTAATGCTGACCCTATACAGGGAGTGCAGAATTATTAGGCAAATGAATATTTTGACCACATCATCCTCTTTATGCATGTTGTCTTACTCCAAGCTGTATAGGCTCGAAAGCCTACTACCAATTAAGCATATTAGGTGATGTGCATCTCTGTAATGAGAAGGGGTGTGGTCTAATGATATCAACACCCTATATCAGGTGTGCATAATTATTAGGCAACTTCCTTTCCTTTGGCAAAATGGGTCAAAAGAAGGACTTGACAGGTTCAGAAAAGTCAAAAATAGTGAGATATCTTGCTGAGGGATGCAGCACTCTTAAAATTGCAAAGCTTCTGAAGCGTGATCATCGAACAATCAAGCGTTTCATTCAAAATAGTCAACAGGGTCGCAAGAAGTGTGTGGAAAAACCAAGGCACAAAATAACTGCCCATGAACTGAGAAAAGTCAAGCGTGCAGCTGCCACGATGCCACTTGCCACCAGTTTGGCCATATTTCAGAGCTGCAACATCACTGGAGTGCCCAAAAGCACAAGGTGTGCAATACTCAGAAACATGGCCAAGGTAAGAAAGGCTGAAAGACGACCACCACTGAACAAGACACACAAGCTGAAGCGTCAAGACTGGGCCAAGAAATATCTCAAGACTGATTTTTCTAGGGTTTTATGGACTGATGAAATGAGAGTGAGTCTTGATGGGCCAGATGGATGGGCCCGTGGCTGGATTGGTAAAGGGCAGAGAGCTCCAGTCCGACTCAGACGCCAGCAAGGTGGAGTGGAGTACTGGTTTGGGCTGGTATCATCAAAGATGAGCTTGTGGGGCCTTTTCGGGTTGAGGATGGAGTCAAGCTCAACTCCCAGTCCTACTGCCAGTTCCTGGAAGACACCTTCTTCAAGCAGTGGTACAGGAAGAAGTCTGCATCCTTCAAGAAAAACATGATTTTCATGCAGGACAATGCTCCATCACACGCGTCCAAGTACTCCACAGCGTGGCTGGCAAGAAAGGGTATAAAAGAAGGAAATCTAATGACATGGCCTCTTTGTTCACCTGATCTGAACCCCATTGAGAACCTGTGGTCCATCATCAAATGTGAGATTTACAAGGAGGGAAAACAGTACACCTCTCTGAACAGTGTCTGGGAGGCTGTGGTTGCTGCTGCACGCAATGTTGATGGTGAACAGATCAAAACACTGACAGAATCCATGGATGGCAGGCTTTTGAGTGTCCTTGCAAAGAAAGGTGGCTATATTGGTCACTGATTTGTTTTTGTTTTGTTTTTGAATGTCAGAAATGTATATTTGTGAATGTTGAGATGTTATATTGGTTTCACTGGTAATAATAAATAATTGAAATGGGTATATATTTGTTTTTTGTTAAGTTGCCTAATAATTATGCACAGTAATAGTCACCTGCACACACAGATATCCCCCTAACATAGCTAAACTAAAAACAAACTAAAAACTACTTCCAAAAATATTCAGCTTTGATATTAATGAGTTTTTTGGGTTCATTGAGAACATGGTTGTTGTTCAATAATAAAATTAGTCCTCAAAAATACAACTTGCCTAATAATTCTGCACTCCCTGTAGTGTTAAAAATGAAATGTAGGTCCCAATCCCCCTCTTGCCTCCCTTAAAAATTGTTAAAACTCACCTTTTTTCCAGTGGCGTGAGTGTCCGCTTTCACTCACCCCCCCTCCCCCGATCCACCTCATTGACTGACTTAATCATTCATATGGGAAGGCATTGTGATTGACTGAGCTTATCAATTCCGATGATCTCAGCCATGGAGATTGGAGGGCGTGGAGCCAAACACCCCACTGGCCAATCAGTGTCTCCTCATAGAGATGTATTAAATCTATGCGTTTCTATGGGGAAATTCAGCATCTCTATGCACAGCACTGACGCAATGTTCTTTTAGGAAGAAACCTCTAGTGGCCGTCTGAGTGACTGCCTCTGATAGTCTATCCAAGGGAGCAATGTAAAACTGCCTTTACTCTGAAAAGGCAGTGTTTACATGAAAATGCCTGCAGGGACTGTCTATACTCACCAGAACAATTAAATTAAGTTGTAGTTGTTCTGATAAATAAAATGTCCCTTCAAAGGACCACTAAAAGCAGCCAAACCACTTCTTCAATTAAGTAGTCTGGGTTCATGGGTCCTGTTGTTTTAACCCTGCAATCTAAAACATTGCAATTTTGTAGAAACAGCAATGTTTTGATTAAAGGGTTTAACCATATCTCCTAAGTATCCATATTTAGGAGGAACAGTCCCTATTTTGGGCCCAAACCCTTCTGTCCTTCTTTTCTAGGAGCTTTCATATTATTGGTATGTCTGAGTGTATAACAGAGCTCCACATCAATAATACTGAGTATTTTGTATTTAAACTACAATAAATGCAGTTAGAAATCAGTTTGTGTAACTATGATACCTTGTTTTGTTCTGAGTTACATTTTAGTTGCATAAATTGTTACTAGTAAGTAACCTAACTATTTTAAAACAGCCCTTCATCTGTATGTGGACCATAGGCGTGCGCACGGGGTGTGCCGGTTGTGCCTGGGCACACCCTAATCCCTGTGGTACGCCTATGGTTTGAGTTTGAGTCCTCAGCCGCGGCGAGTGAGCTGTCTGATCTCTGCTCCCTTTCGCCGCGCGCTGATGCCGGGAGCCGGAATATGACGTCATATTCCGGCTCTCAGCTACAGCAGACAGCCCGCACGGCGAGAGAGAGCAGACAGCTTACTCGCCACGGCTGAGCTGCAGAGAGGCGCCCGCCCCACTGGACCCCAGGGAAAAGTCCACGCCAGCACTCCAGGTAGGAGGCTGGGTGGACATTTTTTTTAAAATTAAAATGTAATAATTTGTTCTTGTGTGTGTCTGTGTGTGAGTGTCTGTGTGTGTCTGTGAGTGTGTGTTTGTGAATGTATGTGTGTGTCTGTGTGAGTGTGGGTGTGTCTGTGTGAGTGTGTGTGTCCGTGTGTGTGTGTGTTTGTGAATGTATGTGTGTGTCTGTGTGAGTGTGGGTGTGTCTGTGTGAGTGTGTGTGTCTGTGTGAGTGTGTGTGTCCGTGTGTGTGTGTGTGTGTGGGTTGTGTGGATGTTGTGTGGGTGTGTGTGTGTGTGGTGTCTGGTGTGTGTGTCTGTGGGTGTGTCTGTGGGTGTGTGCCTGTGTCTGTGGGTGTGTGGTGTGTCTGTGTGTCTGTGGTGTGTGTGTGTGTCTGTGAGGTGTGTGTCTGTGAGTGTGTGTGTGTCTGTGTGGTGTGTGTCTGTGGTGTGTGTGGAGTTGTGTCTGTGGATGTGTGTGTGTCTGTGAGATTATTATGTGTGTGTGTGTCTGTGAGGTGTGTGTGTGTCTGTGGTGTGTGTACCTGTGTGTGTGTCTGTGTGAGTGTGTGTGTCTGTTGGGTGTGTGTGTGTGTCTGTGGGTGTGTGTCTGTGTGAGGTGTGTGTCTGTGTGGGTGTGTGTGTCTGTGAGATGTGGGTGTGTCTGTGGTGTATGTATGTGTGTGTGTCTGAGATGTGTGTGTGTGTGTCTGGATGTGTGTGTGTGTGTGTGCATATATATATATATATATATATATATATATATATACACACACACACACACACAGAGCCGGCGCTATCTGAGTGTCGGCTCTGCTCTAAGCCTCCATGGGCCGGCGGGGAGACCAAAGATCTACCTCACCGGCCCACAGCAGCATGGAGGGAGGCAGGAGAGGACCCAGGGAGCTCTAGACAGAAGCTCCGCCAGGTTCCTCTCGCGATATCTGAGTGTTGCTGCGGCAACGCTCAGATCTCGCGAGAGTTAACTCTAGCCCCGCAGACTAGAGTTCACTCTCCACTGGACCACCAGGGATGGCACATGGCAGCAAGGATTTACTAATCTGCCAAATCCCTCCAAACATACAGCACACACACATACAGCACCTACACACATACAGTACACTAACCGCACCCTCACAAACACACACAGCACCTTTAAAAAAACACAACACCCTCACACACAGCACACTAACAGCACCCTCACAAACACACAAACAGCACCCTCACAAATACACGACACTCACACAAACAACACCCTCACAGGACAAACATACACACACAAGCAGCACAGTCACAAACACACACACAAAGACCCTCAAAAGAGTGTCATGATTCCCACTGTAACTTCCAGAGTGCCAAACAAGGTTGCCCCAGGAGTGCCCAGTAGCGGCTTTGAACCTGGGTACTTTGCAGTCCTGGGGCTGCTATGCTACTTCTGAGCCACCATTCAGACCTTGGCTTGTTGTTTTGTTTATTCTGATTTCTGGCATCCTCTGATCTTTGGCTTCCCACGATGATTCTCCTGCTTTATCTGTTCCTGTACTGCGACTTGGAGAATTATCCTGCACAGCCCCCGTGCACCGACTCACAGGCCAGGTGAATTCTTGCCTGACCACCTCGGCCTGTGTTTACTTGCAAGGGTATGTATGCCAGTGTGGCCAGCCTCTTTGTCAGGGCTTACCTGAGTAAGTGCCTGCCGGACTCCCAACTCAGGTAAGCCCTGACAAAGAGGCTGGCCACACTGGCATACATACCGAGTCAAACTTGGTTCTTCAATCAAATGCTGCTTGCAGCAGCATTTGATTGGGAGCAGCATGGTGTCTTGTGGAACATCTTGTCCCCAATGCTTCTCTATGAGAATGCAGAACACAAAAGAGTCAGCAGGCATGCTGAGGAAGATGGAGGCAGAGCGAGCAGCTTCAGAGGAAGAGTCTCTATGCTGGAAATGAAATAAGTACACTATAGCTTATTGCATTTGTTCTGGTGAGTAAAATCATTCACTTCAGATGTTTTTGCTTTTTTCAGAGAAAATGCAGTGTTTACATTTACAGCCTTGTGATAACTTCACTGGACACTCCTTAGATGGCTGCTAGAGCTACTTCCTATCTTAGTCTTGCCTAGTGTGCATCACAGCATATCAGTATCTCCTCCCTCTGCATGCAGACACTGAACTTTTCTCATAGATTCATTGATTCAACTCATCTATATGAGGAGATGCTGATTGGCCAGGGCTGTGTTTGACTTGTTCTGGCCCTGCCCCTGATCTGCCTCCTTCAGTCTCAGCCAATCCTGTGGGGAAGCATTGTGATTGGCTCAGAACACTTCTGATGTCAGCAGACAACTTGCTGGTCTGAGGCAGTCAGGGCCAGAGCCAGCAGATTTAGTCTTGAATACAAGTAAGATTTTACTATATTTAGGGAGGCAAGAGAGGCCTAGATGGTGGTTTTAACACTATAGGGTCAGAAATATGTTTGTGTTCCTGACCCTATAGTGCTCATTTAACTTTATTTTTTACTAGCAAAGGGAGGTGATCAAAGCAGTAAAAGGCAACAGATGGTCCAGTCCTGAAAAAAATTGTTGTTTTAAGCACTATAGATTTCCTTTACACAACAGGTGAAAGTGGAACGTAGTCACTTAAAGCCTATTCACATAGAAAAAAAAATTTGATATATCTGTCTGTCCTAATTTGGAGTACCTTAACAGGTTATTCACTAAAGTGAGAATTTATAGTGAATTAAAAATTAACTGTACATTTAAGGCTAAAATAACTGAATTGGCAAAAAATTTGTTATGCTTTCAGTTTGGATAGTTTGACCTGAAATTTTAAATTCGATTTACATAGAAACATAGAATTTGACTTCACTTTGAATTCTCACTTAAGTTAATAACTGTGTTAATGCATAGAATATCCAAATATTGCAGGTTACATGCTACAAATTACAAGGAATTTATCTTGAATGAAGGTCATCCATCCAAGCTCTCTTTTAGAGAGTTATTACATATGTAAGCCTTTTAAACAAAACAAGTACAATTTCATTGTACGTAGATGTTATCATATGTTTCTATGGGCATAAGAAGATATTTTATTAAATTAAAAATGACTGACTTGTTTTGGATAAGCCCATTTTTAAAGGGAGGATCAGAACTATAGCTTCTTGATTGAAATTATGTGGTTTATAGGCAAAGCTCAACCAATGAGATCAGTGTAAACTGAGCTACAGATATGAATCAAACCCATAGCCAGTTGGCAATGGGCAAGAGCCACATTATTATGTTTAAAATAATAACACGGGATAGATTCATGTCATCATCTTCAAAATACTATATTGGTAATAAGAGGACTATGAATGGCCCTGGGAAAGAAGCATTTTAGAAGTTCTACTTACAGAGATCTCTCATTGGCTGAGCTGTGTATGTAAAATTCATGAATGTAGTAATTTATTTAAAAATAACTAAAGCGGCACTGTCATGCCGAACTTACCTTTCCCCAATCAATTCCTCTTCTCTTCCTCTGTTGGGATCTGTTCTTCATTTCTTCCTGTCTGCTCTAGTTTTCTTTAAATCTTAAGACAAAAGTAGGGACTATTTGTCTTATGGAGGTTTCCTACGCCTGACCATCTCTGACCAGCAGAGGAACAAAGTGTGCACCGTTTCCTGTAGTCAGAAAATTTTTCCAACAATTCTTATTTTTCCACCGTGATCTGGCGATGCTTCCTGTCGGTCTTTCTGAACGTTCTGTCATTTTAGGCGGAACGCCAGTGAAACGATCGAATTTAGTCGGAACAGAATGAGAACAGTTTCGCCATTCGTGTTAGGATGCAATTCGGTACTTTGTTCGGATCAGAATTCCTATTCGTACCGCAAATCCAACCAGTCAGAGTGCTAGTCATTTTACACTGCATGGGAAAATTCCAACAAACCTTCCCATGCTGTGTAAAATGACTAGCATTATAATTGGTTGAATTCCAAGCCAACCAATCAGAGTGCTCTGAGTCAAATTGCAGGGCGTGGGAAGGCTTTAGGGCCCCCACCCGCTGCTCATGGGTGGGAACCGGGGGGAGGACAATAGGGTGCGCATGGGTGGGGGGAGGACAATATGTTCCCTCCCCTTATTGTACTTTAGTGCCTTACCCGCTGCTCATGAGTGGGGGTTGGCAGGAGGATACTAGGTCCCACCCAATTGTCATTGAGGGCCCCCACCCACCGCTTATGGGTGGGAGTAGGGGGAGGACAATAGGTCCCCCCTTATTGTAATTTAGGGCCCCACCACTCACGAGTGGGTGCTGGGAGGGGGAAGAACAATAGGCCCCCTCCCTTTTGTAATTCATGGCCCCACCCGCTGCTCATGGGTGGGTGCAGGGGGGTAGGACAATAAGTCCCCCCATTTTCATCTAGTGCCCCCACCCGCCGCTCATGGGTGTGGGGCCGGGGGGAGGACAAAGGTCCACCTTTCATTTAGGGCCCCCACCCGCCCCTCATGGGTGCTGGCCAAGGGGAGCCCTATGTTCCCCATTTAGTTGAACAGCCCCACTCGCAGGCCACACTATGTCCCCCCCCCCGCTAGTTAATAGGCTGCTCACTGTTTAGTAGACATGCCCCTACTTGCGACATTTTAATCTCCCTTATGCTAATATGGGGGTCGTATTGACTCCTATAGAGTGAGGGAGAACATGGGGGGGCTTAGGAAGTGGCGGAGAGCATGTTACAAGGAGGGAGCTTTGCGCCCTTAGCTCCCTCCTTGTAATAAACTGAATGAACACCGATATTTGGTGTTTGTTCGTCTGACATTTCTATTCATTCCTTCGTCTTTCTAATGAATGAATAGATGACATTTCTGTTTGCATGCTCAAGTGTTTAACTGGGCATGCGTGGGAATATAACAGCGCTATCTAGTGTGGGCAGATGACGTGTCCCACAGGGACTTCATCTACCCACACAAAGATGGTGGCGCCCAGGACCTAGGGCACAAAATAAAGATTACAAAATAGGTAAGATGGGAGTCTTAGGGGCATCTGGGGTGACTAGGGGAACAAGTAGAGTCGTAGAGGGAAGTTAAAAAACAAAACAAAAAAAAAACAGGATTCGGCCATGACAGTGCCGCTTTAAGTCTATTAAGAAAGCAATTTAGTAACATGTTTTGCTGCTACTATTGGCCCATGATATATCCAATTTATTTGCCAAACATCTAAAGCACTATAGCTTGTTTTGTGAAGAGACAATCAGGGTAGTGTAACAAAGACAGTCAGACAACTGGTTATGTTACTTCCTGGTTTGGTTGGCTCAGTGGAGCTAAATTCAAGTGGAAGCAATTGCTCAGAGCACCTGCCTTAAATGCATGCATGCTTTCATTTGGATATTATTTGGTATTTAAGCAGTGAAATGCCCCTTTAAGTGACCCTACACAGGATATGGTAACTTGTAGAGAAAGACATGTAAAAGAGCCCTCTATTACAATTCAAACACAAGCTACTTAAATCTGCTAATTGGGTAGCCACTACCAATAAACCAAAATGGTAAAATAACTAAATCCACAGCTGGATTTGATTTTGATTATTCTTCAATCAACATTGCTTATACTGTGTTTATCTCAGCATTTCTTGGTAATGTAGTACTCTCTGAGAATGATTGCATGCCCGGTAATTACGGGTAAGAGACTACTACTGATATTATACGAAAGCAGATAACAGCATATTTATTCTAAATAAAGATGCTTTTCTAATATAATTTTACACCACAGTACATTTTTTCATTTGTTAAATGCTCTAGAACAGGGGTAGGCAACATTCA